AAATGCAAAAATATTTGTAAAGCTCCTAGCATAGTGCCTGGCGATTAATAAACACTTATTCACTTCACTTCAGATAAAGTATTTAACTCTTTAGTAGGTATTCTTGGGTTTATTGAACACAATGCTACTTTGCTCTGTGGCTTTTGGGTCTTATTGCCCTAATCTGTTCTACTGATCAAGTTTTCTATTTTTTTTAACCTGAACCAAATTATTATGATGACCACTGCTTTATAGTATAATTGGAGATTTGTTATCACTAGGTCACCTCCTTTTCTTCTGTAGGATATGCTCTGGAGCAGCTAGGTAGCACAATGGATAGAGCTACAGGCCTGAGGTCAGGAAGTTTCCTGAGTTCAAATCTGGCCTCAGACACTTACTAGCTGTGTGACCCTGGGCAAGTCACTTATTCCTATTTGCCTCAGTTTCTTCATCTGTAAAATGAGATGGAGAAGGAAATGGCAAACCACTCCAGTATCTCTGTCATGACCCCAAATAGAGTCATGAAGAGTTGGACAGTACTGAACAATAACAACATGCTCTGGAACTGCTTTCCCAATCCCAATCTGAAAGTTGAGTCCCCAGAGAGCAACTGATACTTTCCCCCACCAGTCTCTAAGGAGTTCTGAGGCCCTGGGGGGTTATCTTCCTAATGCTATAGCTTGTGAATTTTCACTATTATGTTTTGTTGTTGATTATTGGTTAATATCAGTTAGACAATTAGCTTTTTAAAATAGTTATTTATTGAGGTGGTATAGTAAGAACTATTAGAACAAAACATTGTCCCAAAAATATGTGACCAACCCCCTATTCCCCCCCCTTTCCCTAAGTGATTCCCTCTCAAGTCCTTGACTGGAACTGTTCTCTTGTCTAAGCCATTAGACAAGATTGACAAGTATTGATTCTGAACTGGTTTGCTATTTTATGCCTACGTGACATGATCAAATCTCCTCAGCTGGTACCAATACACTGTGCATGCACGGATGCTGTCATTTCACCTCATCCAATGACCCTCACTCCTTTCAAATTGATTAACTATATTTTTTAAACTTAGTTCAATACATTTTTCTTGATTGATTCAATAGAAATGTTCTCACCTGATAAAGGTATCAGGGCCAGCATATTTTGTTAGGTACTTTTACTGGGATGTGGTGATTTGTTAATGGATTCACTCAACCCTTACATCAACTTTTTTCATTATTACTTTGAGATTTTTGACCTTTTATCTGTCTCACTAAATCTGAAAATCAATTTAGTTGGTATGACCAATTCTATTTACATTGACATGGAAGCTTGTACTATTCCTGGCCCATTTCCTTGCACTGCAATGCATCAGCAGACCTAGACCCCTAGAGATGTCTTTGTTTGAACTTGTCTCTAGATACCCTTAACAGGATGAAAGAGTTCAATATTTTTCTTTAGTTCTATTGTTTTCTCTCATGTTCTTCTTCATTGTAAATAAGTGTTCCTCAGAGGAACTGGGTCTGGCTAGAACCTTCTATGTCATCATCTTAACCAGAAGTCTGCATCCATCATTCTTCCAGAAAAACCTTATCTATTCTGCAGATTTCAACACAATATAATTCTAGGGTTAGTTTTTTTGTTTGCTTACTTGTTTTTCATTGTGTCCAACTCTTCATGACCCTTTTGGTCATGACCCCTTTGGGGGTTTTCTTGGTAAATATACTGGAATGGTTTCCTGCAAACAGGGTTAAGTGACTTGCCCAGGGTCACATAGCTGGTAAGTGTCTGAGGCCGGATTTGAACTCAGGAAGATGAGTCTTCCTGATTCCAAGCCCAGTGATCTATCTATTGCACCACCAAGTAGAGTTGGTACAGGATTCCAAAGAGTCTCAAGGATTTAGGACTCCAAGTTCTAACTGACCTAGTCTTTGGAAATTCAAAGTTTTTGAGGGGACTTGGACCATGTATGGTATTAGAAAGGATTGAAACCTCTCCAATATCCCCTGGTTGAGTTTTTGTGTTTGTTTGTTTGTTACCTTTAAGATCTGGTTGAATCATTCCACTTATTTCTTCAACTGAAATTATATACAAACCATCCCATTTGCTTCCTTTTCTCATTCCAAAGGCTAATCTCTGGGCAGCTATTTTTATGGCCAAGTATTCCCCTCCCTAATGTACAGGAAGGAGCACTAGAGTAAGAGTGATAGAATTATAGGAGCTAAGTGTGGAAGGGACCTCAGAGATCAGTTTATAGATGGGGAAATTGAGATCCAAAAAATTAAAGGGATTTGTCCTCAGTTACACCAGTTGTAAGCTGCAAAGCTGGGATTCATCCTAGTACCCTTACCCTAAGTCCAGTGTTATTTCCATTATATCCCACAGCTTCTCAGAAGATCTGGATTCTTATTTCAGTTCTGCTATTTCCTAGCTGTTGGTTGAAGTATGAAGTCCAAGAGTCTGGAAGTACCACCCAAGCCTGGGGATATACCAAACACTCAACCTCAGAGCAGAGAGAACACTCTGTGAGGCAAGCACTACCTAAACCAGGTTGAGCCCATGATTCTTGATCCAAAATCCATATTTAGTCATAGCCCCCATTCCAAAGTGTGTGGGGGTGGGGAGGGGAGGTCCTCACCTCTAACAGAAGTCCAGGCCTGTGTAAAGTGCACTCCCGGAGGTAGTGGTTGTATCTTTAGGATTTTAGAGGGTCCAGAAACCAAGGAAACCACATGAAGTATTTGCTACCATTTAGGGTCACCTACATACTGCACACTTCTGTCTTTTTTGTCTTTCAGTAATTCCTACACAAGCAAAACAACAAGGAATTGCCTGCTGCCCCCAAAGCATCAGAGAACATAGACATGAGGAGAAAAGATCTGATAGAAACCAAGGTCATGGGACTGAGAGCTGGAAGGGACTTTATATCCCCACCCAGAGAAAGGAAATGACTTCCCTAAGGTCACTCAGCTAATAAGTATGAGGACCAGTATTCAAACCTAGGTCTCCTGATTCAAATGTTCTTTCCACTAATGAATCACAAAGTCCATTCACTAATGCAAATATATTTTACAGCCTATTTGCCTTTGCTTTCTATACTACTTTAATGTAGGGAAATTGGTTTCTGACCAGCCCCTCCTAGTCCAGGAAACCTAGGATGTAATCACTGAAAGTAAGGGGCCATTAATGAGGTGCTAAACTAACTGTAAAAATGCAGTTGCAAACCTTTGCCTGTGTGAAGTATGTGTTTATGAAATATGAAAAAGTTGTTTGATTGAATTAGAAAAGGAGCCTGGCATTTGGCCCATGAGTGATTGATTGACCATACACCTGGGTGGCCCTTAAACTAGAGGCAAGCAGTTTAAGAATGTCCAGGCAGGAGCCAAAATAGAGGAGGACCCCAATTCTCTATGAGATAATAGAAAGGGCATGGAGCCAGAGGAAGGGAGACTTCAATAAGCCACAGGGACCTAGGAATTATAAGAGCAGGAGCAGGAGCAAAGGCAGCTGAGAGGAGGAGCAGGCACCAGGCCTCCAGGAGAAGGTCACATGGGCCGGTCAGGAACAGATGTGGTGTCAAGAAAGGCTCCCTTCATCTAGACTGCTGGCCCCAAGGTGGTAATTTTGTAATTCCCTTCTCCCCTTGGACTCCTTCACAGGAGCCTGAATCCTTTCATCTAGGCACAAAAACAAGTCTTTTTAGTTTTCTTTATTTTAAATGTTTACTTTTGTCTTTATAAACAGTGTTATCCACAGGCATTTGCTAAACTGGGCATACTTCTTGGGAATGAAGCTAGGAGTAGGTAATTGAGTGGGAGGAGAAGAGGAGAAGAAAGGAGGAGAGGGGAGGGAAAGGAAAGAGAGGGAGAAAAAAGTGGAAGGGAGGGAGAAAGGAGGCTAGAGGCAGTGAGAAGGAGAAGGAAAGAGGGAAAGAGGAGGAAGAAAGGAGGGAGACAGGGAAATGATAGGACAGGGAAGGGGAAGCAGAGGAGAGAACAGGATAGGGTAGGGGAGGAAAGAGAAAGAGAGGGAAGGAGGAGGGAAGGAGAGGTGAGGAGAAGAGACATTTAATGTTGAGGTGTTTTAACAAAGCATTGTCTGTGGCTAGGGGTTCAGAACTAAAAAAGAGTTACTTTAGTCACAGCATCAAAGTATATACCTAATTAAAAGACTTACTCTATAAACCTGTGAACAAATAAAGTCAACTACTGTCAGTAGAAAAAAATTTAATAAAAAATTGAATTAATCCTTTTTTACAACTTCCCAAAGAAGAGGGAGAATATTAGTCAATCTATAAACATTTATTAAGCACCTATTATATGAGTTAATAATAGGATGGGGGACAAATAAAAATAGCTGAATAACCCTGGTCACCACCCCTCCTCACTGCTGCATCACTAAGAGATCTTGGTTATCTGGTGTCCAGATCCACATTTGAGGGGGTGAGGGAGATGAGATAAGTGATAAAGACAGGCTACATGGTTAGTACTTTCGCATATAAGTGGCATGTGCAAAGAAGAAAGAAAACATATAAGAATCAAACACAGGTACTCAAAAACCACACCAGCTGGGACCATTTAGTGAAACAGGTAGTATTGCAAACATTAATAAACTCTCAGGGCATCACTATATTAATACACACAATAACTATAACTCATTTTAATAGCAATTTAAAGTTTACAGATCATTTGCCTCATAACAACCCCATAAAGTAGATAGTATAAATATGTTTGTCATCCTCACTTCAGAGATTAGCTCGTTAAAACCCAGAGACTTAAGTGGCTTGCCAAGCATCATCACAAAGCAAAGGCCAATAATTGGCTTTATTAAATTGATGTGTTGCTTTGGACAAGTCTCTTCCCTTCTCTAGATTTCCACTTTCTTATATTTTATTTTAATTTTTTTTTAAAATATCCGTTCCAAATTCCCTTCCTCCCTCCCAACCCTACCCCACCCACTGAAAAGGAAAGAAATACAATACCCATTATACATATGAAGTCATGCCAAACATATTTCCACATTGTAGGCTTCCATTTTCTTACTTTGTAAGAAGGAGAGGTAGCTTTTACATAGTGCAAAGAGGGTTGTTCTCAGAATTTAGAAGTTCATGTCCCATCTATGACACATAATGGCTGAGTGACACTGAGTCTCTTAATCTCTCTGTGGCCAAGGCAGCTGTCCAAGAATAATTTAAAAACTAGGTGGTCTTACTAGATGTGTAACCCTGGGCAAGTCACTTAACCTTGATTGCCTCTCTGAATGAATGAATGAATGAATGAATGAATGAATGACTAAATAAATAAAAAGAGGAGGTGCTGATCTATATTACTGAAGTGAGTCCATCTGCTCTCTGAAAGTTCCTTATCTACAGGAGTATGCTGGTAAATTAACAGTCCCAGAAAAAAAAATGAATATGCTTTTAAACTGAATCTGCATTATTAATGCTTTGTTAAGACTAGACAATCAACAGAACAATAAATGAAGCCCTGATTCATAGTCTTTGATGATTTTTGAGTTATAAACAATGGTCATCCTGTCTCTAAAACTGTCCCCCTATTGACTATGCCATGCTGATTCATTTTAGAGGTAAGCAAACAGGCTAAAAGAGGCTTTCACACACTTGGTAGGTACCATATCCAGAACTCAAACCCGGAACTTTTCTTCCAAAACAGGGGTGGGGAACCTGCAACCTCAAGGCCACGTATGGCCCTCCGGGTCCTCAAGTACAGCCCTTTGACTGAATCCAAACTTCACGGCACAAATCATCTTAATAAAAAGATTTGTTCTATAAAATTTGGACTCAGTCAAAAGACTGCACTCAAGCACCTAGAAGGCCACATGTGGCCTCCAGGCTGCAGGTTCCCGGACCCTGCTTTAATGAGCTATACCAAACAACCTCTCAGGTATAACAGCATTATTAAATCGTTTGAAGCATTTGGGATAATAGTCCGTTTACATTCTGATGTGGCCCCTTGCATAGGCTTCTCTTGCTTGCTACTTACTTGAGGTTTTATTCATACTTTTGTCAGGATAAGATATAGCTGGTGGCAGGACAAAAGGTTTTCAGCCTGGGCCTGGGCTCATTTTTGCCCAATGGATCAAAAGTATGGGGGTGGGGCAGAAAAGGGAGGGAGAGCTTAGAAGGAGAAATATTATCCTGAACAGGGATAGGGAAGGAGTTAATACACTGAAGTAAACATGCATGATTTTTTTCAAATGAAATTCCTCTTGTATCCTCCATCATAACTGATGTAATATGTTCTTATCTTTAGGAGCAAGAAAAGTTCTCGGGGTTTCATTTGTTATGTTTATGCCAATAGAAATAAATCTTAGCCATCATGGAAAAGGTCTCTGCTGTCCCTGATTCTGTCTAGGGAATTTAACTAATCATATCCCTCCTGCAGGTCAAATGAGATAATATATGTAAAGTGCTTTGCAAACCTTAAAAGTGCTGTATAAATGTTATCTATTATTATTATGCTGCCAGAGCAGATGCTATTAAAGTTATACTTTGGCCTTATTGATCAGGCAGCTCCTTCATTACTTCTGTAGTGCTACAGATCAATAAATAGGCCTACAGAAGCATAATAGATTTTTTTAAAAATCTATTAAGTAGAATATTTTTGCAGAATTGAGTTTGGAAAGTCATTGCCTCAGGCACGTATTTTAAAATCTTCAATGTGGTTCTCACTAAAGAGTTGCTTGGAATGTGAAAGACATAGAGAGCTTCTCCATTTTAAAGCTCACTTGCTGCAATATTAATGTGCGGCATTTGAGGAAAGAGCAGTAGATTGTGTGGTAAAATAGAGCCTACAGGAGCTTCAGGCTTTTAAAACACATGCTGAATACTTCAATTTTCATGGGAAGAGGAAACAATGTCTACTCCTTAGCTCAAGTCCTGTTACATAATAGTGTACCTGAAAAATGTCACCATTTCCTCTTCTTCTGTCCCTAAACATACGTTTTATTTGAAAAAAAGAGTTCTGTTTTGCTTTTTTTTTTTTCAATTGGATCTCCCTATCTTGTCTAGGCTAGAAATGCAGTGACTACTCATGGGTCCAATCCCACTGTTGATTGACTCAGGAGCCTTGACCTGCTCCATTTCCAACCTATGCTTTAGGCAACCTGGTGGCTTCTCACTCCTGAGCCTTGCCATATTGATGCCAGACTCAGTGTAGACACCTGATGGGGTTAACCTACTACAGCTCAGAACTCCCAAGATCAAGAGATTACCAGCCTCAGCCTCTCTGGTAGCAAGTACTATGGGTATGTGCCTCCATGCCCTATGAAAAGTACATTTCAGAAACTTTTTTAGAAGCATCAGTTAAAGTCTGATTGTCCCAACACTGAAAACCAAAAGATGAAGTTCCAACTAGTGATTTAGGGGCAATTTCTATAAGTCATACTTCAGGCAAGCCCCATGAAACATTCCCTCAAAGACACTGTCAAAGATAAATCAGTTGGAGGAGGATGGGAGTAGAGATGCAATACAAAGGGACACTGCCTCATGGGGAAACAGAGACCCGTGTTTATCATGAGGCTGATGTTTCAGAAGTGAAAGGGGTGCAGAAGCTGGTGGCGTCATTCAGAACAAGAGCTTTCTTTGAGTACAGCAGCTGGAGGCCTGGAGAAGACAGTATTAATTATTCTTGCTAAATGTCAAGCTTGATTGTTTTTATACTACTGAAGGAATACAAGTGCTATCAGAGTCCTCTAAATTTTAGTACCCTGGAAAAACATCTATTTACCTCCTCTCCCTGCCAAAAAATAATAGTTTGGCTGGAAGGGACCTCACCACAGTACCAAGGTCAACTATTGTTGAACTATCCTGTCCTTATTTGATGATCCTGCATTCCTTGTCACCTTCACACAAGCATTCAAACAATTTAGGTGTTGTTGATGTCATGCATGGAAATAAATCTACTCATTAAGATAGCTCCAGGACTTGAGCAAAGTCTAAGCTGCCATGTGCATTTATTTTGAATTCAGTAAATAGGCAGGCAAGTTAACAGCTTCCCACGAGTGTGGAGTTTATGGATGATTTGTCTCTCATGGATACACCTCTAGCCTAAACAGATAATTGTCCTTTATTTTGATTCTTCAGTGGGCTTGTCATCCTATTGGTGTGGGCATTCCTTCCTCCAGTGCAGATTACAAACCATCTCCTTCTATATAATTCTTGTCCACAGCTTTCTGTACATAGAAGGTGTAGCCCAGAGTAAGCCCAAGCAACTTAACAAAATTAAAAATTAGTCTTTTATTTGGAATTTTTATTACATTTCTTTGGTAAACATGGGCATCTTTATTGATTGAATGAATACTAATATGGGATGGTTTGGTTGGGTCTATGAAGTTCAGCCATTTCTTAATTGATGGACATTCCTTTAGTCTCTAGTTCTTTGTTATTCACAAAGAGCTGCTGTAAACCCTCTTGCACATCAGAAGTATCAAACTAGCAGCCCCTGGAGGAGGCCTAAATGGGATTAAAATGTATTTGGGAAATAGTTAACAAAATAAATAACAATACAATAAAACATAGAAAATGTTAATTTGTGGTTTTCCAAGTTGATATATGGTATGCATTTTAAGATGGCCAAAAGGCAGTTGTTGATATGGTACTAGAGCCCAGGAGAGAGATTAGAGCTGGATATATAAATCTGGCTATCATCTACAGAGAGATGATCATTGAATTCCCATAGGAAATTATTAGATCACTGAACAAAAGAAGAGGACCCAGGAATGAGCCTTGGGGTTCACACACAATGATCACAATTAGTGGGTATGATCTGAATGAAGATCCTAGGGAAGAAGATGGAGAAGGAATGGTCAGAGAAGTAGTAAAAAACTGAAAAGAGAGCAGAGTCATAAATGCCTAGAGAGAACATACAAGAGAAAGTGACTGACAGTGCCAAAGGCTTCAAAGAATGAAACAAATTTTTTAAAAATAAAAGCTCTTATGGAAAAATGGAAGGATGATAGAAAGCTTATAAGAGAAAGTGGTAAACTTTACCCAAGAAATGAGTAATAGACCAAACTGAATAGGCCAGAAAAACAAACCTGAAATAGACCAACTACTAATAAATCAACCATTCCACAAAACAACCAGAAATATTAGAGCAAAAACAAAAAATTGAAAAAAGGAAGAAATAGAAGAATGAAATTTCAATTTTAAAAATTGACAAAAATGGGGGGGGAATGGAAGATATCTGCTATCAAAAATAACTGATCTGGAAAACAAGATAAGGAAAAATAACTTAAGAACTGCTGACCTCCCTGAAAATTTATGATTTTTTTAAAAGTTTGTACACTATTTCAAAAATTCTTTTGTAAGCTGTGTACGTATCCATGTAACATATCTACATCCACCTAGGTTGTCCAAACGTACCTCATGGAGCGCATAAGAGGAGCTTCAGAAGAATGGGGGTTTTTTTGTTTTTTGTTTTGGGGTTTGTTTGGGGTTGTTGGTTGTTTGTTTTCTTAGGAGTAGGTGAGAGCAGAATGGGAGGACAAACAGTCAAGTCTCAAGAGTACCACCAGGCTGGGTGCTCCTTTCTTTAGTCTCTGAAAGGGTAATGACTAGAATTCTATCTATCTGTCTATCTGCTCCCTAGGGGAGCAGTTTCAAAATAAAACCCACTTCCCTGGTCACTCAATGGGAAGAATTGCTCTGAGCTTGCCTCTGCCATCTTAGTCTTTTCCTATCAAACACAGGTTACACAAAAGATCATCACAAATTTCAAATAGCAAGTAATCCTAACAAATCCAATCAAAACCACAGACTTCTCTACAGTTAGAGAAATTATACAGATTATCATATACCAGAAAATTGACAGACTCAACAAATTCTTTTGATTGGATCTTAGCTCAGCCAAAAGAGAGACCTTAATCTCACCTAAAAGGAAATTCCCTGAAATTTCTAAAGAGGCAAGTTGGAAATCAGGGACATTTTAGAAGCTGGCTTCCCTTACATGTCTTCAGCTTCCAAAATTTGTTTCTCTTTCTCTCCACATCTCTGGAGTCAGCCCTAAAGAGACCATGCATGTCCTTTCTAACCAAAAGAATCTGTCTCCTCTCCAAAGCTTGC